ACCATCTTAACTCGATCGAATCAGTACCCTACCGTTAGGAGATGAACTCCCTCGAGACGGACCTAGAACGGTGAAGTGATGGACAAGTGGTGCTCTATTCAACCTAGGGAACCCCTATATCGTAGGAGCTCGATCCAATCGACTCCCTCGGGGATTACCCGGACGATATAGGGTGAGGAGTGACCTGAAGACGCCAAGAAAGGGGCTCTAAGAGGATTTTCTCCCTCCTAGGTCAAAAGCTCAAAACATGAAAATCGAATCCAAACTCATGCCATTCATGAAAACCATCCATAACTTAGATAATAAACTCAATCAAACATGGAATTCACCACATACAACAACACTCAATCAAAATCTAGAACTAGGGTTCTTAAACCCAAGAGAAAAGAGGGTGAGTTTTTAGAGAGAAAAGAGAGATATTGCAAATTGGAGGCCAAGATCTTTTTCTTCTTCTCTTCTAGGCTTGTTTCCTTGCTTTCAAGCTTGATCAATGCCTTCAATTAAGCTCCAGGTTCACTAAAGAACTCTCTCTCTCTCTCTCTCTCATACACTCACTAGAACTCCCCTTTCGGTTTTGGGTCAAAACCCTAGAGAGAATCAAATTTTCCTCCAAAAACCAGCTCCCCTTTCTCTCTCCCCATTTCTCTCTTTATATTTGCCTGACAGTGTCGAGTTCATGGTCTTTGCGACTGTGAACTGACTTGAGTCCAGTGAGACGCAAACCAACTCTGAAAATTGGCCACTTCATGGTATGGGGCTGATTTTCACGGTCTTAGGACCGTGATAAATGAGTCCAGACCGTGAAGTTATACACTTCACTCCCTGGGGGTGATTTTCAAAGTCTAAGGGCGTGACATTTGCCTCCAGCCCGTGAACAGTGCTCAACCTCCACTTTTTGGCTCGTTTTGACCTCCGAATGACCCGGAATTTGTCCAAGACCTTCCCACATGTACTAGGACCTGAAATATGACAAAAGAAGCACAACCTAGTGTATAATAGATCAAGGAACAATGATAACAAAGTCAAACAATCAAAAAATGAAGGCTAAAGCATGTGCAATTGAGTCTGAATCACAATTGGTGCGACCCTAGACTTTTTCAACTTTACTTCTATAATGTGGGAAATCATTAATTAACATTGGATCATCACTAATGTATCCAAGAATCTCTTAAAATAGTTAGTCAATAGAGACTTCTCTTCCACCCAATTAACCAAAATTGGTTTTAAGACCTAGAATTTCACTATAAGGATTTTACCCAATACATATGGAAGTAAATAGCTCATTTTCATGCAATTACTCAACCTCATCCAATCTATGTGTGTTCAATCAACCCAATTAGATTTCTCTCTGCTAAGTCAAAATACAATTCACTCAAACTTTGTTAAAAATTAGGAAAACTTGGCCAAAATAGAACTCAAACCCTTCTAATTTATAACATCCTAGATTCAATATTTCTGAATCCATAGCGTTGCACATATGGGGGTCCTCTTCGAGCCAATGATGTTCTTGGAGAAGAAGACTCTAGACTTTGGTTTTCCGACTTGTTGTCCAAAGGCAAGGCCAAGCTCATCAAGTAGAATCAGCTCATCTGAAGAAGAAAAAAAAACAAGTGAGGCAGAAAGGGATCTGATCTAGTAAACCTAATTTGCTGCCAATACTCATTCTCCAGTCAAACAATAATGATATGGCGGAGACGTTCCATACACAGTGTAAAGATGTAGGGAGAAAGAGGGCACCTCAGACCAAGGCCCCTGCAAGAGGTGAACTCATCATTAAGGCCTTCGTTCCATTATAAATATTTAAGTTTCATCAAAATGTTTAAGTTTCTCAACCAATCATTTGGTGATAGCTTTGTTAGTGACATTTCAAATATTGATCGGGCGAATTTGCTCAATCAGATAAGGTTCTTGAACTTTTGGGATCACTACTAGAATCATTTCATTGACCGCCCTGATTTTATCTGGATAATCCCAACTATCTTTTGCAAACAAGACAAGGTACTGACCAAACATGGACCAATATTTTTGAAAAAATATAGGGTTGAGGCCATCCTTGCTATGTGCTTTCAAAGAAAGTGTCTTCTTCCTTATGTTGAACTCGAGTAATCTCGTCTTTAGGCTCTTTCGTCTTCCGTGACGGAAAGTATTCCTTGATGAATGCTAGTGCAATTATCTCCCATGTGGTGAAGGTCCTGGTGGATGGTAGTCGAGCCACTACTTTGCTCCTCCTTCAAGTGAGAACGGGAAAAGTCGTAGTCAAATTCCATCTTTGGTAGAATCATCTCCTGATATGGAATTGATGATCTCTAAGAATGTATTCAAGTGTTGCACCAGAACATATTCATTCCTTCCTCCAAATCTTCCTGCTTGTCACACCATCTGGATGAGTTGAGCTCTGATTTTTGTGGTCGTTGGCGACGCAACAATGCTTGAGGTGATGTTGGATGCTCTTGGCCTTGAATACTCATCGAGATTTGGTGGAATTGCCACTTGCCTTTGTCATTCTTCTCTAGCCATCGTTGGTGTTGAAAAAAGTTGAAGATACTCCTTCTTCCTCCCATTCGAAGTTGTCTTCGTCTATGTTGTCCTCCTCTTCCAAGGGTTGCTCGAAATTGGTGGGGCTTGAGGTTTGTCTTTAAGTTGGGTAAACTAGATGCTCCTCCTTCTTGAAATATCTCTTCCACAATCTTTATGATTTTTCTTTGTCTTCTAGTGGACTCATACGAAAATCTACAAAGCAAAATTGACTCAATACTAAGCATAAGATGGTTAAATGCTTTTATATACGATTATAAATCTCTAGCAACTGTGCCAAAAACTTGATGTAATATCAGGTGATAAAATCCTAGGAGGACTTGGGGTCATATTCCCCAAGGTCTTCTAATGCATAACTACTCACACCAACCATACATGACATACACAAGAATCATAAGGACATTTAGGGGTTTTCATTTAACAAACAAACAAAGCAAGAAGAGTAAAGTTGTTTAGGGATTTCAATTTATAGATGCATAAAAGTAAAGATACATTATTGTAGAAGGTAGTAAAACTCGAAGACTATCATGCATACTAGGGTTCATTCATATCATGCATCGATGACTCATCAATCTTAACACCTTATCCCTTCCTCTAAGGCCACTCTGTACATGTGCATGCGCCTCTTGTGATAGAGTTTTAACTAGCTAATGAGTGCTTTCACTTCATGTCATTACCTAATCAATGAAGAACAAGTTAGGATAGCATATAGTTAATTGTGGGCTTCTACGAACCATTACATAGTATATAACATCGATGATTTAACAATCAAGCATTGATAATACTCTAAGCATAAATGGTTGATCATTTCATCCATATTTGTGTAGCATCAATGGGGTATCTCTATATGGTAATTTCTTGACAACCTAGGTAATATTAAGCACAATGCATATTGTAGCATACAATAGAATCATAAGCATCAATGATACAAGAGCATTCATACTATAGAAACATCAATGGCTATAATTACATAAGCATCGAAACTAAAAGCATCCATACATAGGCAATATGCATAAAAAAATCTCATAGACAAACACAAGCATGAGATAAAATCATAGCATTCATTCACATAACAATAAAGAAGATCACATCCTTATACAATCAATTTTGACTAGCTACATAGAGAAGAAGGAAGGTAGCACCATTGATGATGAGAACATGTCCTTAGCTGCAGACCCCTCCACTTCGACTAGGCTAACCACTTGTGTAAAGTGTTGCAGAGAGTCTGTGTGTTTGTGCAGCCTTACTAAGCTAATGGGTCATGCCCTCTATTAGGGAAAAATCCCAGCTAAAACATCCAAATTCGACAAGGAAAGAGTCTTCTAAACTTTGTAGGCCAAGCGAACTTCCTCAACAAGGTTTAGGGTTGACGGCGGTAGGGCAATAGTTAGATCCGCCACTCTGTTTCTTCGTGGGTTGGGTTTCCTGGTTCATAGACTTCTTCTTCTGACGATTTGGGTGCACCTTGATGTAGTGACGGTTATACATGTTTCTTGGACCACCGCTATTTCTTTCTTTCTTTCTTTCTTTCTTTCTTTAGATCGGGCCGAGTCTTCTTCCTATGGGTTTGTCTTGAAATAATGTAGCAACTTCTAGTTGGCTTCTCCGCCAGTGGACCACTTATTTCTCACTAAAGCTCCTTAATCTTCTATTTATATCTCATTTGGTCCTCCAGAGTTCTTAGTGCTTGATCCAATCATCCTTAGGTTGCTTTGTACCTTCAAAATCATCAAAAACATACCAAGAAGGTATCAAAGAGTACAAGAACATTACCTAGGTCTATTAAAAGCTTATTGATTAAATAGTGTGATTTAGACAAAAAAATATAATTGAAACGACTAAAGATGCTTTGATAGAAGGGGGAAATGTATATAGAATGTGAGTGACAAACACTATAAATAAAGTGTTATCAGCTTATAAGGATTCGTTGTATATGACATTTGGTTGCCCAGTCTATTTCAAGAGCTCCTCAGTGGTTATATCTTCGATAATCCCATCTTCTCTTTCCGGTTGTGTGGTAGTTTGGTCCTCTACACGGACTCGCTTCTTAGGCTGTTGTGTCTCTTTATCTCCCTTTTCTGTTTGGTGAGGAAGACTCTAAAGGAGGATGTCGCACACCCGACGTAGGGCAGGCCAATTTTGATTCTCCTGGTGACGTCGGGGAGGTTGACGGACAAGCCGCCGCCATGATGTCGTCAGCTGAAGCAGAAATCCTAGTTGATCGCTGATTAATCGCCCTTTAGTAATCTCATAGCTCTTAATAGTATGACAATTTTTCCTACAAGATATAAATTATTTTATGTGAACCAAATCTTTTAATTGCTTCTTCCTAGTTGATTTATCGATGATGATGATTTTTCACATTTCTCATACATTCTATCAAATCGCGTAATGTGCATAAACCGGTTGTACCATATCACATCACTTGATTTAGTGAGACAATTGTTTAAACCGGTTTGACACACTGGTATTTGAAACTGTCCCATTCACTCACTTCTCGTCGCGCCTCCATTCTCAAATCTTCCACACGACGGCGACTGCGAGTCCAGCTGAATCACACCGGAAAGAAGAAAAATATACGCCGGAGGGAGCCGTTCAGGTGTTATGATTCTTAACATAGTGTTCTTCACGCCATACTCAAATCAAACAAAAAAAACACCTAGTATTCCCTAGTTTCTTCTTCCACACACGAAACTCCCTCTCACCCTATCTCGTGTACTCCGCCTTCTGCGTATAAAACAACACTCTCGCGCATCGTTGTTCCTCCTTCGCTACAGCAGTTGTCGAAGTTGGGCGGTGGAAAAAAGATCGGAGGCTGCGGAAGGGGAGAGAAGGAAAAAGAAGAGGAGAAATGGCGCCTAGGCTGAGTCCGGGCGACGCTACGGGATTTAAGCTGCTCTTCCTCCTTGCGGCGCTGTACGGACTCATGTCCGTGCTCGTCTACTCCGTACTCCACATGAAGTTTATTACGCCGCTCGCCGTCGACGCGCCTCCGGATCGTTTCTCCGAGGCACGCGCCGTCGAGCACGTTCGCGCCTTAACGAGAACTGGACGCCAGGTGAGTATTTCCGATTCGGTTTCGGACTTTCACGGGGAGATGTGGCTATTTGTTTGTCTTGATTGTTCAGAGTATATTGTGACTTCACAATTGTGTTTGGTAGGAAGGGCGTCCTGGTTTGAGAGAAGCTGCAAATTACATTAGAACGGAGCTTGAAGCGATAAGAGGAAGATCTGGCTCAGGTTACAGGTTCGTTGTTGTTAGAGCTTGTGTGTGCTTGACTGGTTTATTTGGCTTGTTTCTTGTGTATGAAGTTCATATTTCATTTTGTCAATCTGCAGAATTGAGATTGAAGAGACTGCAGTTAACGGTTCCTTCAATATGATGTTCTTAGGCCATAGCATATCCCTGGGATACAGAAATCATACTAATTTGATCATGAGGTATGTACATCTCATTCACCATTTCGATGGTCTACAACGTTCTGTAAGCGAATCTTCTCATTTCCCACTTAGTTGTTCGGAAAGTTGTACGTGAACTGTCCTATAAAGGAATAGAGTGTTCAATTGCCTTTCTTTTCCGTTTGCACATTGATGCAAGCATTACTCAATCAGTAGAAGAGAACTGTAGGGGGAGAAGGGAAACTAAGGGAGCATAGTGTTGTGCTTAGGGACCACTGCCTTTCTGGTTTTTCCTTCTCTTCCAGGGAGAGCATGTATTGAATTTGAAGTACTTGTTAACAATTTCAATGTTACTTGAGTAGAAGTTGGAATCCTAGTTGCGACTGCGTGACTCTTTCCCTATTGTTAGACTTAGACCAACTTTTCCTGAATGGCAGGATGTCATCGGTAGATTCACCAAGCGATGATGCTTCTGTTCTAATAAATGGCCATTTTGATAGTCCACTTGGCTCTGTAGGAGCTGGCGATTGTGGTTCTTGTGTTGGTAAGTCAAAAAAATAACATACGAGTGTGGTTGTTGTGCCTGCACTTTGGCTGCTGATTATTTAGCTTCTTTCCTATTGTTTTGTAGCATCAATGCTGGAAGTTGCAAGAGTTATTGTGGACTCTGGCTGGATCCCTCCTCGTCCTATTATATTCCTTTTCAACGGGGCTGAAGAACTTTTCATGTTGGTATGTAAAGAATCCACAATGGTATTGTCTAGGGTAGTTGTCCTTAAATTGGCTCTGCAGCAAATTCTACTTGCACAAACTAGACTGCAACTTATGTAGTAATTACATATCTATTAAAAGGTATTCTGGGGGTAATATGGTATAGTTTATAAACTGTGGCCATGGGAAATGGAAAAGTGAAAGGTTGTTTTTCTTTTTACTTTTCCATTTTCCTTTCTTTCTTTTTTGGTGGCTTTGAAATAGGGAAGAGTTCAGATTCCTCGCAAGAGACTGAACTATTAGTTCTAGAAGTTGGTTATCTAGGTTTTCATAGATTTCATGATGAACTTGATTGGACCAAGGTAAGGCAGAGTTGCATGTTGAGGCTTAGTATATTGATTGCTTCTAATGTTTCAGGCTGCGCATGGTTTCATGACAACACATGAATGGCGGCATTCTATTGGAGCTTCCATAAATGTGGAAGCATCTGGGACAGGAGGACCTGGTAGGATAAGTTACCAACTGTTGTCACAGTTAGCAGTTTAAGGCATTCCTTCAGAATCCAAATTGAACAAAACCTTGGATCTTTGGGGACATAAAAAAATGGCACATCATACACACTTTGATGATGTCATCACCTCCTTTGGGATAGATAAGTTTACATTATCTCTTTTTGGCTCTCTTTTGACAGATTTAGTTTGCCAATCTGGACCTAGTTCATGGCCCTCTCAATTATATGCCCAGTCTGCTATTTACCCCATGGCTCACAGTGCTGCTCAGGTTTTTCTCTTAATCAAATGCAAATTTGACTTTGTAATAAAAGTTAAGATTTCTTCTCATGTCACTAAAACAATTTTAAACTTCTAGCCAGCCGAATTTTCGTCCGGTTTGTTTCCATCCGTCTAAAAATAATACGGAAAGAAAAAAAGTATTGACTGGCGAAGCCCCTACAACTGCTTTGCACCACTTGCCTATTTTTTCATCAGCCACTGTTTTAGTCTCAATGATGTTTTTTTTCTTCTATCTGTAGGATGTTTTTCCTATTATTCCCGGCGACACAGATTACAGAATGTTTTCCCAGGATTATGGGAACATCCCCAGCCTGGATATCATCTTTCTTCTAGGCGGATATTATTACCATACTTCCTTTGACACCGTGGACAAACTACTGTACGCATTACATCTGCTATTTTGGTATAAAATTATTGCTATGTGATTTTACTATTACTTAGTTTATATGCACCTTCACCTTATTCATGCATATATCGTTAAACCAGACCTGGATCCATGCAAGCACGTGGAGAAAACTTTCTGAGTGTACTCAAAGGCTTTACAAATTCTTCCAAGCTACGAAGTGCCCAAGAAAGAAATTCTCTTGAAGCAGCAAATGACTATGATGATGAGCGTGCTGTTTTCTTCGATTATTTGACTTGGTTCTTGGTATGTTGCAAAAGTTGGTAGTGTCTCAAATCTCTAAGTCAAATGACATTGCATTGGTAATGCTTTGATCCGACATCAGTTCATGATGACATATTTCCTGGTTTTGCTTCTGGATCTTTCAGGTGCTATATTCAAAAAGAGTTGCAAGAGTACTGCATAGTGGTCCCATCGTTCTCTTTCTTGCTATGCCGTTGATTTTTTGTTTTCTTGATTCTGGGCGTCGTTCTTGGTTTACAACTTTCTGCGACCTTATGAAAGGTGGAGTACTGATCTATAACTTTTTATAAAATATTTGACGTGTTCAGATGGTTTGTAATTGTTTTTATTGTGCTAATTATACCAAAAGTCTTTTCCAGGAATGATGTTGCATGCAAGTGGATTTATCCTGGCTATTCTTTGCCCCGTTGCCTTTTCCATCGCCAGATTATTTTTCTCCGGTTGTGCTATGAGCTGGTGGGTTCAACCTTTAGTCTCTGTGTTTCTTTCACCCATCCGGTCCAGTTCTCCAGTATGCATAAATTTCGCTGTCGATCTTTGTAATACTGGATTCACTGGTACTTTCTGATCGATATTGTTATTTGTTTGGAATATTTCATTGAAATGCAGGTTTGCTCGTCCGTACTTGGCATACATGATGTTTATCCCTTGTTCGCTTCTCGGTTTGCTGATACCAAGGGCCATTTGGAGTTCTTTGCCTCCCTCTCTGGATGCTTCCAACCTTGAGAAATCCAAGGAGGTATCAATCACAGTCACATCCTAAATTTGGCAGGAAATTGCAAGCAGTCTCCCAAATGTCAAGTGACTCTGAATTAGACCTGAAATACAGATCTTCTTGATGATTATTTGTCGTGAAGGTTCCACTTTTAACAATTTATGACATTCCAAACCTATTTCAGGCATTATCTGATGAAGCAAGGTTTTGGGGAGCATTTGGATTGTATGCTGTCATAACTCAGGTATACACTAAGTTTGGCTCCTTACTCCTTAGTATTTGAGCTTGAATAATCTCTAGTTTCTGCAACTGCTAACTTCATTAAAGTAGGCTTATACTGCAGCTGGGCTCAGTGGCGGATTCTTGGCCTTTTTAATTTCAGCTTCTATGCTTCTAGCTTGGATCTTCTTTTGCCTTTCTGTCAAATTTTATGGTCATCAAACACTTCGGTAAGATTTTATACTTCTCTTGAAACGTGCACATCTCTCGGCTCATTTGTTTCCTCCAAAACTTTACTCATCCCTCAGGCATAGTTGCATTTTTGGCTTCTTGTTCAACACCCTACTCTTTGATTGGTTTCAAGTCTTCTATGATTTGACTAGGCTTTTCTTTCAGGTCAACAATCTCTTATATAATACCTCTGGTCCCTTACCTCATATATGGCGTATATTTTGGTGCATTTCTCATCCAATTTTTGATCGAGAAGACGGGAATGGTGGGCGCTGTCCCACCCCCATATGGTATGTTTCACTAATTTCATTCCCCCTGCTCTCCTAGTTGTAGGAATCTGATTGGTTCACCTTCAAATTTATTTCTATGCTCCGTCTTACAACTTTAATTATTGTCTTCAGGATATTATGTTCCCGATGTTCTGGTGGCAGCAGTAATTGGACTTGTAACTAGTTGGTGTTTCGGCCCTTTAGTACCTGTTTTGGGTTGGTGGTTAGCTAGGTCATCCATTTTGAAGTTCTTGTTGCATATTACCGTGGTTGCCATGGCGGTCTCCTCACAGTTCTTCCCATACAGCAACCTAGCCCCTAAAAGGCTTGTTTTCCAGCATACCGTCGTGACTACGGGTATGAAATGACATATGATGAGTTTTGTTTGAAGATCCATTGCACATCCCGTTTTATTGCATTTATGGATTAAAGTTTAAACAGTTTTGGCTCCGGGAGTTTGATACTTTTCTCAGATGATCTCTTGATGCTGTTTTATTTCGATTAGCCATCCTTTGGCAGAAAATGTCAATCTTGACAGGGACTGTTGATTTGGGAAATTCTGTAAAATTCAGGGGTTGGTTTCTGGAGAAGTATCAAACATCAAGATTCAAAATTAGCATTAGTCCCACTTAATGCATTTGTATATCATCCTCTAAGACTTGCTGCTGTTTTATTTCGATTAGCCAGGCTTTGTCGTCCTGACTTCTACTTGTTCACCTATTATCTTCAGATGGAAGTAAGATTATGGACTCAAGCTACCATTTCGCTGTGGTGGATTCGAATTCTCTGAACTTTCTTTTCAAACATTCGCCTGAAGTGGCGAAGCAACTGCAAATTGGCTCAGATTTCTCTCTGGGTACTGCTAATAAGTCTCAACTCCACGACTGGGTGGTATGCAATTCCTTCTTAAGTTAATTGTTGCCAATGTTTTATATAACATTGGTTCCTTTGTCCTGAAACTAAACATATTCTCTCGAAACTGATTAACCATGAGCAGGCACTTTTCCCAGTATCTCACCTGTTCTCTGGAAGTCTGAAGTTTCCTGCTAGCAACCACGAGCTCCTGAAGCAGTATCAACGGTTCCCTCATCTGTACAACTCCAAGCCTGCTACTGTCTCTGGTGATGGATCCCGGAGAGTTCACTTGGAGCTTTCTTTGGGGTAAGTGGATTACATGAGCTGTTACGTGCAGTTTAAAAAATCGCTTACACAGTCAATGAACTATGTGATTTGTGACAAACCATCGTTAAAATACAAAACTTCAATAAATTACTAACCAAACTGGGTACTTTGTTACAAGATAGTCCAATCTGTCTAATCTGGCACTAGTTCGATTGGGTGAACATGGTAAATAGGCTCGTTGTCACTAACTCATGCACCTTGTCAACTCAAACCCTTTCTAACTCTCCCAATTGGAATCTGGATCCCAACCCTGTTCTTGAATTGGGAAGGGCTGGATTTGGTGCTGATTCAGAGATTCTGCAGACAATTTGACATGCTGATGCAGCCGAATGAAAAGCAAATTAGACAGAATGAGATGGGGTTGTCAGTGACCATGTTTGTTACACATCCTATTAAACATAATCTAGGTGCTTCACCCGGTACATGCGTGTATTATAATCTGTGATTTTGTATTCTTCAGCGACTCAAAGGAAGTGTGGGTCACAGTCCTCAACATTACGGGTCCCTTATCGAGCTGGTCCTTCGCAGACAACAAAATTCCAGGTACTATCACCGATCATCAACTCTTCCATCTGATTGGCGAAATGAAACCATTTGATTTGCTGATCAACTTTGGAAAAACAAATTGGTGTGCAGCTCCTGAAGTCATCAGTGAAGGCCCTGCGTCGTTCATCTGTAGGCTCAGCGGATCAAGCCATGAAACTTGGACATTCTGGCTAGAGGTAAACCAACTGATTTCCCCGCTCTGTCCCATTTTCTTTCCTGGCAATCAATAAACACCGAATGTGCCTCACTCACTCATCTTGAAATACTCCCTGGCGATCAGGCTAGCAGTTCGGAGAACCTGAGAGTGGACGTGGCGGTGTTAGATCAAGCTTTGGTCGACGAAACGGAGAAGTTGAAGGGGCTCTTCCCCGACTGGGTCGATGTCACTGCCTATACTGGTTTCTTGTCCAGCTATGTGTTTTAATCAACTTATAGCGCTGTACTCTTCTTGCAACGCTAGTCGAATAAGGTGATTTAAGAGTAGAATAGGAGAAACTCGAGCCATTGTTTTGGCTTCTCTAGAAGGAACACGCATGAATTTAGGGCACAAAAAATTCAAGCTTCCGTTAACACGACAAATGTCTCTTGGCCAAATTTGCAATTGTTGCCAAGAATCGAATAGCAGCTCGATTTCTCTCTGATTGAAACATGAGATTTGCTTCTGTATCTCGTTAGTCTACCGTGGAAGAAAGTACTTATTCATGAAGGCTTGGAAAAGATCCCAGTGAAATGTTCGCAGAGGATAGAAATCGAGTCACTGCTTCACAATTCATTGACGTGAGAAAGGAAAAAAAGACAAGTCTGATTACACCTTGTGACACGCCTTGGAGAACCAGTGAATCACATATCTCCTAAAATTCTTCATATGAATGAAAGGATTGTCTTTGTCATGTCCATCAAAGAATCCAGCATTGCAAAGCAGTTGCATAATGTCAGGGTTGAGATCGAAACTCTATTCTGTGATCTCCGACTTAATTATGCTAGAGGTGATTTTGGCTGCTCTAAGGCGAGTGTAATCACCAACGTGTCAGCCTAATCGGCCATGGCTCCGGATAGCATAACAACACCTAAGGTGTTGTTATTATAACAACAGGGGTATAAGGGTAACTGCACAAAAATTAATAAGTTGTTTTCTTTTACCTGGCATTAATTTTGAAATTCAAAATTAATAATAAAATTCATTGAAGCGCGCGTTGAGACATTTCCGTTTTCCGCTTTCCCCTTTCCCCTCTGCTCACGAACTGCTCTCCGACGGGACGTCTCCTTCGGTTGCTCTCTCCCTGTTCTCGCCACCAAATTTTCATCTGCATCGAGCGATTTCGTCTGCGGCTTGTGGATTTCCTTCGCGCGATTCTGTTTCCTCCGTCGCCGAAGTGAATTTCGAGGTATGCCGGTGATTTCCTCCGCTAAACTGTCTTCTCCTCCGTCGTCAGTTTTGGTCTGCGAAGTCGCCGTTGTCGTTTGGCATCGCCGGAGTTCCACTTGTATGGTGTTAGTTTGGCGTCGCCGTTTTCGTTTTCGTTAGCATTGTCATTGCTTGCTTCTGCTATTGAATTTACAACCTTCGTTTTCATGTTTGCCCTCTGTTACTTTCGTTTTCCAGTTTTCTGCGATGTTTTGACGCATGCAGTCTAAATTTGTTGAAGGAGACGAGGAAATTTCATAGTTGTGCGTTCTGGTTAGGTTTTGTTGGATGTTTCTTCATTTTTGTGGTGTGCTTTGATTATTTTAGGGTTTCTGGTTTCTCATGAGTCGTTTGTGGTTTGTTTAGTAGTTCTGTTGTTTTGTTCTATATTTTGGTGGTGCGCTTTGTGTTTGGTGACAGTTAGGGTGTTTGTGGGTTCGATTGGGGCCTTTCTGGAGGGTTTTAATAAAACTATTGTGTATTTTCAGGCTGCTGTTGGTGGTTCTTTTAAAAGGTTTTGTGGTTTGTGTTTCGGATTTCACAGTTTGGTTTAGAAGATTTACTGGTGTGCATTTGCAGTTGTTGTTTGTCTCCTTTACATCTGATTATTGAGTCGTTTGTGGTGGTGTTCAGTAGTTCTGTTGTTTTGTTCTTTTTTTGGTGGTGCGCTTTGTGTTTGGTGACATTTAGGGTGTTTGTGGGTTTGATTGGGGCCTTTATGGTGTATTTCCAGGGTGATGTTGGTGGTTCATTTGCAGTTGTTGTTTGTCTGCTTTAAATTTGATTATTGGTTTGTTTTCATGGTTTTACAGTTTGCATTAGGCCCTTGATGGTTTGGATTTTATATGTTCTGGTATGAGATTGCTTATGTTGGTTTGTGTTTTGGTTGCTTTGTAGGCATGGCACCTGGTAAGAAACGTGCAGTAAAGGGGAAAGAAAAGGAAAAAGTTCCAACACCTAAGCGAGAGAAAGATGGTGCTTCTCCTGTGGCTGGAAAGCCGGATAAGAGGCATCGTAGTAATACTAATCGTATTCTTGCCATCATGGATGCTGACAGTACAAGTGAAGAAAAACTGCAGATGCTTGATCCTCTGGGTTTTAGGGGTGTGTCGAGGGTTAAGCTTACGAGACTCCCGGATAATTTTACTGAATGGCTTTGCAAAAGTTTTTATGTCAGTTCAAGGTCTTTCCCGCTGCTTCGGTCAGGGAAGTTTAGAATTGGAGAGGCAGATGTGGAGAGAGTCTATGGTTTGCCGCGTGGACCGTATGCTGTTAAGCTGGATATGTTCAGTGCAGCCCAGAGGCACAGGTGGGAAATTGAGTTAGGGCTTTCCAATACTAGGAAAGGAAAGGCGACATTGGCAAACGTTAAACTGGCATTGGAAGATGAGAGGGACAATAAGAAGTGGAGGGATCTTTTTGTACTGTATGCAATGGAGGCAGTTCTGTGTCCCAGTGGAAATTTGAAGATTAACCTCTCCTATGCTGGTTTTTTGCAAGATGAAATGGTCGCTGACTTCACCCAATATAATTGGTGTAAGCATGTGGCTGACCATTTTAATGACAGTATGGTTGAAGTGGTTCAATCAAAATCAAAGTTCCCTGGTGACGTTCATCTTCTTTTTGTAAGTCAATAAATATACCCCTTTTCGAATTTTGGTTTACTGTTTCATTTATGGTTTGTTTATTGACGAATGTGGTGTGGTTGAAGATGTTCATGGTTTGTTTAAGAATATTTATGGTTTGCTTTTGCCCCCCCTGTGTTATGTTTCTGGTATTGTTTTTCATTTATGGTTTGTTTATTGACGAATGTGGTGTGGTTGAAGATGTTTATGGTTTGTTTAAGAATATTTATGGTTTGCTTTTGACCCCCTTTGTTATAATGTTTCTGGTATTGTTTATCATTTATGGTTTGTTTATTGACGAATGTGGTGTGGTTGAAGATGTTTATGATTTGTTTAAGAATATTTATGGTTTGCTTTTGCCCCCCCTGCTGTGTGGTGTGTGTATTATAATCTTTCTGGCACAGTTTGTTTGTGGTTGCTTGACTTCTGTCTGTTTGTATATGTGGCAGATTTCGATTCTTGACCGTTTGAAGAACCCCCCTGAGTTGCCCATACCGACCTGTAGGCACAGGTCGTACAAAGTCGCAAGTGCTGCTTTTCAAGTACTGATGGACGAAGGTCATCTCACTATTGGTCATCGAGATGTAGTGGTGGAAGACCAAGCAACCTCCAGTCAACCAATGGGACGAGGACGTGTGCAGGGTTCAAAGAGGAAAAGGCCGGTAGATGATCTTGATATGGAGAGGGAAGGGGATCTTCCGAAGCTTCCCTATCTTGACCTCAACTTGGATGGTATTCATTCGGTTGAAGAAGTGAGTGGTTTTTCTGTGTTATTCGTTTTATGGCTTTCTTTAGAGTACTTCCAGTGTGCTTTACAAGTATAGTGGTTTGCATTAGTTTGTTTACGGAATACTTTATTTTATTCATGTGCTGGTTAGTTGTGTTTTCTGTTGTTTGTTCTTTGGCTTGCTTTAGTGTACTTGTGGTTATTATTAAAAGAATAGTGGTTTGCATTACTTCGTTAAAGGAATATTTTATGGTACTCATCGTTTGGTAGGTGTTTTTCTGTGAGAACTCAAACATATGTGGTTTGTATAAGTGTGTTTTAGGTGTTCATTAAAAGGAATGTGAGATTCTTTATAAGGTTTATGGTTTGCTTTTGGGCTGTTTAGTAACTTTGGGCTGTTTTCGTGTTTTTGTAGGCATATCAGTTGAAGAATGACATGGAAAGTTATAAGAGGGCTTTGTTGAGGATGGCTACTCATTACAGTTCGAGCATTGAACAAGTTGCTGATCATATAAAGATGCTGGAGGGGCAGCAACCAGAGGATAGTCCTGAAGATAATGTCGATTTCACTGATAGAGTTGATGATGTTGCTGTTGGTAAGGGAACCAATGATGTCGGTCGCAATGCATCTGCTGCCAATGCTGATGATGAGACTGGTGCTAACAGTCCAAAGTCCCCGGGTCTTGATGATTTGTCAATGGAGATGGATAAGGATGTTGCTTGTACTGCTGATGGTGTGTCGCCAGATGTTGGTCACAATGATCCTGCTGGCACTGCTAATGATGATACCTCTCCTAAGGGAGTATCAGATTCGAAGGGGCTTGATGATCATCTTGATAATCTGACAATGGAGATGACACAAAAAAGTGTTGATTCTGAGAATGCTAAGAAGGTGATGGAGATGGACAGCTGTGAGGAAAAGGGACAAGGTGATGATGGAGATGACAATGTTGATGGTGTTGATGCTGCTAAGTTGGATAACTTGGTTGAGAAGGTCGTAAAGGTATTTTTACTGTTTTGTGTTTGAATATTTGTGGTGTGGATTATACTATTTTTGGTTTGTTTGTCATGTCTTTTGTAGTAGGTTGTTTTGCATTTGTTAGTAGTGTGGTTTACATATATCTGGTTTTCTTAAAAACTTTTGTGGTTTGGTTTCTGTAGTCTGCTATGGGGGATGTTTGTGAAGATGTGGTGGTTGATGAGAAAAGGAAAGAAGCTGATGCCGGTGAGGTGCTTGAGGGTGGTGATGATAGTGCAGATTTAACATTGAGTCAGCTAGTTAGGAAGGGAAAGGTAATTTGTTGTACAATGTTTCAGTTTTGGTTTGTGTTTGTAGTGTGGTTTATCGCATTTGTGGTTTGTGTTAGTTGTTTTTAGTACTGTTTTATCTAATTTGTGGTTGCTTTAAAAATCAAAAAAAATTTAAAGTGAAGAATGCAGGAGGCTCATCAGGTGTTGATATTGATGTGTTGAAGGGTGCTGTGTTGCGATATGCAAGGGATTCGAATAACTTGTAAGTTAATGTGTATAGATTTCATACATATGCGGTTGTTTGTATATATTTTTTTATATAGTGCTTATTAGTACTTTTCTAATGCCGACTGTTTTGTTTGTTATGGATTATGAAAAATAGGAAGGAAATCCTTTTCAATCGTGTTGATGGATACGATTGCTTGTATAGAAAGGACACAGAGACTTTGACACATGGGCAATGTGTGAGTGTGGATGTTATTGACTGCTACGCTGCCTATCTGAATCGGGAGCAAGTGAGAAGAGGGCAACTGAAAAGATGGGTGTTCTATTCAGGGCTGGCGGTGAGTTACATTTCCTGCTAGTTCTGGTTTGTTTTAGGGTTTTTGTGGTGTGCATTATAATACGTCTGGTTTGGTTTAAGGGTTTTGTGTTGTGCATTATAATACGTCTGGTTTGTTTTAGGGTTTTTGTGGTGTGCATTATAATACGTCTGGTTTGTTTTAGGGTTTTTACGGTGTGCATTATAATACGTCTGGATTGTTTTACTGTGTTTATG